CAGATGAATGATGATGATATACTGACAAAATGACCAAGAGAGTTTGTGTGTGAAACCAGCCTATAGAAGTTCAGACATTGCAGGCATATGTCTATCTGAGAGGGCACTCTGAAGTTTTGTGAGCCTGGCAACAGTAAATTCTACTTCCAGCAATGTGGGCTTGGAAAAATCACTGGATTTCTTTATACCTCAGTTTCCTCAACCTCATAAAAAGCACAATAATAAGGGCACCTGGGTGGCTGAGTCAGTGAAGCATCCTCCTCTTGATTTTGGCTCAGGTCATGATCTCACAGTTCATGAGTTTGAGCCCCATGTCGGGCTCTGCGCTGACAGTGTGGGGCCTGCTTGGGAGTCTCTCTCCCTCTCTCTCTGCCCCTACGCACCCCAAATAAAGAAATAAACTTTAAAAACTTTAAAAACCCACAATAATAGCTTCTTTGATGAGGTTTTTTGTTTTTGTTTAGAGAGAGAGAGAATGCATGCGTGAACAGGTGAGAGGGGCGGGGGGGGGGGAGAGAGAGAGAGAGAGAGAGAGAGAGAGAAAGAGAATCTTAAGTAGGCTCCACACTCAGCACAGAGCCCAACCTGGGCCTGACTCCCATGCCCCTGGGATCATGATCTGAGCCAAAATCAAGAGTCAGACGCTCAACCGACTGAGCCACTTAAGTGCCCCATTCGTTGATAAGTTTTTATGGGAATTCAACCTTGTATTTGTAAGGTAAACAGCAAGTATTAATTAATTCATAAATAGTAACTACTGTAAAGATTATTTCACATTTCATGATATTCTATGGTAACCATCTCAGCTGATAGATGTCTTTCAGTTTTTGAAGAGATGCTTACAAATGTATGAAAAGGGTCATTCTCTCATTTAATAATGCATATAACCATATTTCTGAAAACTAACACAAAAGGGAAAGGTCCTCCATTACCCTGCAGCTCTAACTTAATCACCATCTTTCCTTCGAGACTTCTTTTCTATGCACTTTTCCCACACTGAAGTCAGAGTGTACATAAAAGTCTGCTTTTTGTTTCTTCCACTTGTTATCTTGATACGGAAACATCTTACAAAGTCTGACACAGAAGCTTGTTCATGTGTCACGCTCAGAGCAGTGAGCAGTGGGCAGGAGGGGAGAGCTGGTGGAAAGAGGGAAGTCGTGGACCTGTAAATGCTCAACAATGCTGTGTCATGATCAGCTGAAGTTCCCAGAAGCAAAGGTCCTGCAGGGTGTCAGAGACCAATGCAAGGAGACAGCAAGGAGGTGCTAAGAGATTCTGGAAGTTGTGGTCTGGGGACAAAAGGTGCTTAGTCAATCTTCAGTTCAATTCCTCTTCTATAAATCATACATGTTGCATACACCTTCTGTTATAGGGCTGCTAGAAAGGTTAGTCAAATTAGCATATGTAAAGTGCCCAGCACACAGAAAAGATATTATTAAAATGGTAAGATTTCATGAGTCAGGATATAGGATTTCCAAAAAAGTGTTCAGCACCCTAGTTATTCCTAACAGACTTCTTTTTTTTCTAATTTTTTAAAGTTTATTTATTTTGGGAGAGAGAGTGTGTGTGTGCACTAGTGGGGGAGGGACAGAGATAGAGGGAGAGAGAATTCCCAAGCAAGCTTCACCCTGCCAGTGCAGAGCCCGACACGGGGCTCAAACTCACAAACCGTGAGATCATGACCTGAGCTGAAATCAAGAGTCAGATACTTAACCAACTGAGCTACCCAGGCGCCCCCAGACTACTACTACTACTACTACTTCTTTTTCTTCTTCTTCTTCTTCTTCTTCTTCTTCTTCTCCTTCTCCTTCTCCTTCTCCTTCTCCTTCTCCTTCTCCTTCTCCTTCTCCTTCTTCTTCCAATCTGCACACCCAATGTGGGGCTCAAACCCACAACCCTGAGATAAAGAGTTGCATGCTCCAACTGACCGAGACAGCCAGGCACTCCCTTAACAGACTTTTATTTTTAATTAATTAATTAATATTTTTTTGAGAGAGAGAGAGCATGTGAACAGGGGAAAGAGGTAGAGGGAGAGAGAAGAAATCTTAAGCGGGCTCCGTGCCAAGTGCAGAACCCGATGTGGGGCTGGATCCCATGACCCTGGGATCATGACCTGAGCTGAAATCAAGAGTTTGATGCTCAACCAAATGAGCCACCCAGGGGCCCCTAACAGACTTCTTAAACATACAATTTATGTCCTAATATTTCATGACTATTTCTACAATATAGGAAAGTCCATCGGGATAGCAGACCAGGGTGGAGTTGATCATTAATCAAAACCATTGAAAGGAAACACCTAAGGGCAGGATGCTGGGAGGAGCTTGCAAGGTGGGCAGCGCAACCCCACCTCCAGGGGGCAGCAGCTGCTGGGCTTCCGGTTGCTCTGTGGGACTGCAGCTCAGGGTTGCAAAATGATGCTACTACCACGTAGCACACACAGAAATTTACACACACAGAAATTAACAGCAGTTAGGCAACAGGGTTCCTGGTATAGAGACAAGAATTATTATCTGCCTTAAATCCCTAGCCATTGGAGGTTATTTGATTGTACATATTAAAATACATTTAACGTATAAATTACATAAAAAGTACACACGGACATACAAAAACGTTTCAAGAAGTCCTCCTCGAGAGCCTAAAACCCATTTAACTTTATTTAGGCCAGTGGTTGCCGTCGTATTTGACCCGGAAGCTCTGTTTTCCACATCAAGTGTATTAGCACCCTACGCAATACACGGTGGGAAAGGCTCTTGAGCTTTCAAAGGGAATACTCAAGTGCATCAATGAAAGCAACAGAATGCTATTATTGCATCATGTCTGCCCCCGCCCCCGCCCCGGTGGCCTCCCTGCATCGGTCCTGATGGGCCTCTGCCACCTGCTATCCTTAGAGGACCGGATTCTCCACTTCTCCTCACTGCTTGCCCCACAGGGAAGAGGTCTGGGCACCATATTAGAGCTTAACAAATGTGAGTTTCTCCTGAATCCTTGGAATATACATCTTAATTACTTCTCTAACAATCGTCTTATGACAGCAGCTTCATGAATATGTGAAAGACAGAGAAATAGCTCCTCTTACATGGCCTGAGTACATTTGGGATTGTCGGAACACAGCAAATTGCACTGTGCTCTATGCCACGAGTACTGGTGTGAGGAATTACAATGAGAGTACCATATTTTTCACTTCTCTTTCATCTTCTTTACTAGTCTGTGAACATGGAGAGCAGGGTGTGGTAGCCTTAGATGCCTTATCTGTAAAGCAAGCAGAATCATATTTACCTTGCAGAATTTTGCCAGCCAGAATTTTGGAATGATCAAATAAAAAAGTGAATGTGTGTCAAGTGCTGAAAACAATGCCAGAGATGTAGCAGTACTCACTAAATGCCAGCTATTGGTATTATTTCCACACTTCCTGTTAACATCACACTCTTGGAAGATGGAAAAAGTCATGGATCTTAAGCATGTGCAGTCACTAGAGTAAGTCACGGAACCGTAGTATTTGTAGCTGGTTGACATTTTTTAAAGGATTGTAAAGGTTCTTAGAAATTCTCTTTTACGGATGACAAAAAGAGAAACGGAGGCTGAGAAAAAATGAAGCAATTTGCCCATGTTTTTCACAGGAGCATAAATTACCAACACTCAGTATTTGGAACCCACACGAAGAGCACAAAAACCTCACTAAGAAGTTAAAAACCGAACAGGACTCCTATCTGAAGTGAACACACCCACAAATCTCCGCTTTGCACGGTTCCAGGGATTCTTGTAACTTAATGTACATTTGCATGGTTAATAGCAAATCTGAACTTTCGGCGTCCTAAGTGATCTGCTGCAAGCGCTCCCAGTATTTTGTTTCAATCCCTGCTTGCGTGCCTTTCACTCAACAGGTTTTTTCTTCAAGCATTGCAGGAACCGGGCAGCAAAGCCTTAGCCCATCGCACCACTAGATGGCGCTACACCCACTCCGGGGAAGCCATGGCGTGCGCGGGAGGCGGAAGCTGGTGGAAGAGAGGAGTTTAACGTCCTGGTTCCATTTTAAATGTCCATACCCAGACATGAAAGCAGATGAATTAAATTTGCCATTATCCCGCATACTTAAATCTAATTGGATTTGATAAAAATAGAGCAGAGCTGGAGAAGCGGCTGCCAGCCCAGCATCTCTGGCCTGTATTTCAGATCCTGACAGAATGCAATCTCCAAGCTCTAGACATCCCCAGTAACAGAAACAGGAAGCAAACACATTCTGGATCTTCTAAGAAAAGGCCAACCATCGTCATAGTATTTCAGAGACCATGGGAGCTGAATAATGAGAGCTGGTGATGGAGGGCCATTTCTAGAAGAACTTAAATTTAAGAGGCTATAATGCAGGGACAAGACGGGGAAATGAAAGATGACGACACGTGGAACGTCTATAAGAAAGAAGAAAAACAAATGCTTTCATACCAACAAAGTGTGGAGAGTCAGGCAGTGTGGCTTGGAGTGGAGCTCAGAGTTAACAAAATTTCAAGGCTGGAAGGAGCCTTGTAAGGAAGCAGGACTGGGCCTGAGAAAGAACTTGCTGGAAACCACACAGATCATGAATGGCAGACAGGCACCAGACCTGCGTTTGTGCGACCCAGTACTCTTTCCACTAAAATGCGTGGCCCTCTTAACGGCTCACTGAAAACCTTTCACAAAATCCAAGGAAATCCACGCAGAAGCGCCCTCCCGCCACCTCCCTGCATGCACATGTGCACACATCCACCGTCCTCACAATACAGGAAATTGAAGGAAGCCATCTGAAACTTCAGCGGCGGCCGCGGCCAACACAGATAACATATCAAACGAAAAGCTGGAAATCAGCACTGTTCACATTCACACAGGAAGCCCCAACTCAAGCTGTTTGACCCTATTTAGTAATCAGTTCCAGGCTCACAAAAGAATGCCAGACCAAAAACCGAAGGCAAAAAAAAAAAAAAAAAAAAAAAAAAAAAATCCCCCAAAACAACAAAAAACATACTCCCAACCTTTTTCCTTGGGAAGAAGAACGACTCCAAGAAGTTTCAAGAGAGGCCCATCTGGTTTACAGCGTTTTGCAGGAAATCTGGTGACTATTCTGTGATGCCATTGTCTTTGCCAACCCCGGGGAGGTGGCACACCAAGGCGGTCACTGGGATAATTCAGATGCACCAAAGCCATGTTTTACCTCAGTTGCGCTGATATTTTAGCTGAAGGTATTTTGGACCTAAACATCTCCGGTGATTGTCGGATGTATTGGTGTGATGGGAAGTGCTGGCAGGTCTGTGGCTCCGCCCCCCACTTATAGTAGCTGTTCCCTAACCAACCCTTCTGAACCTCCTTCTGTCAACACGGGACCGAATCACTGTTACCTCACGGGACAGTTCTGAGGAGGGCATGAGAGAAGATGTCCTATGGCACAGAGGAGCCTCCCTAAATATCAGCCTCTTTCCTTCAGTTTAATTTTCGAATTCCCTTCGTCACTTGCACTGTGAACCTGGCCTTCAGCAAAGAGAAGAAAAACGTCTCATTTTCTTTGGAGCCACTGCTGAATTCTCTCAAGTTTTATCCAGGCTCTCTGAACATTTTGGTCTCAAAACCCACTGACCCCCTTACAAATTGAGGATTCTGAATTTTTCTTAAAAAAAATAAAAGGTGGGCTATCAGTATTTACCATATTATAAAGTAACACCGAGAAATTTTAAAAATATTTAAGAGTGACAATAATAATGTATTACATATTAATGTAAATTACGACAAATAACTATTTTCCAAAACCGAAAATATTTAATGAGAGTGATGTCATTTACATTTTACAAATCTCCTTAATGTCTGTCTTGATAAAAACAGCTGGATTCTCCTATCTACTCTGCTCCTACATTGTCTCTTGTAATGTCTTGTTTTGGTAGAAGCCTATGAAGAAAAATCAGCCTCTGTAGGAGGGAGGAGTATTTTAATAGTTTTTAAAGATAGGTGCGCACATTCTTTGGTAGTACACCCAAACTCACTAAGGGCTAATTTCTTTAAGTTAATTTTAATGTGGAATCTGGAACGTTTTCAATGAACTTTTTAAATGCTCTTACATGAAGTCCATTCATCTATTTTGCACTTTCAGTGGTTCTTTTACGCACGCATGCTTTTGTAACATTTGGAAAATACTGACTCACTGAGTTACGTAGATCTTCCAAATTTCAACACAGTTTATTACACATGCAAAAAAATCACATTATTAATATACTGCCACCAATCTCATCAGAATAATTTCTATAAGGAAGCTGTCAAGCTCACTGTGATGGACATGGGCTTTCTATAATCCTAATTCTTTCTTGAAAGCTAAAATTTTATCATTGGCAACTGACATTGTCAGTTGTTTTACTAGAGGGGACAAGCTCACTTTGTTCATTTTGAGAAAATACCTGTCAGATATCCAACTCTAAATAACTATAGTTTGTCTTCCATTCTTTAGAGTGTCAAAGAATAATGATGTTCCATGGGGAATGAAAGGCTAGTTTGGCTCACTATTCAATTGCCAAGCATTTTTCCTCAAGAAAACCAACACCCTTCATTATTCAGCAGAAATGCCTTATGTGTGTTTTCCATTTTATCACAGAGAATATTAAATGCACATGTACTCAGAGGTCAAGATTTAACAAAATTAATAATTTTTACTGATTTATCAAGGACATTCCTTAAAAAATTTTTTTAATGTCTATTTATTTTTGACAGAGAGAGAGAGAGAGAGAGAGAGAGAGAGAGAGAGACAGAGCATGAGTGGGGGAGGGGCAGAGAGGGAGACACAGAATCTGAAACAGGCTCCAGGCTCCGAGCTGTCAGCACAGAGCCCGACGCGGGGCTGGAACTCATAGACCGTGAGATCATGACCTGAACCGAAGTCGGACACTCAACCGACTGAGCCACCCAGGCACCCCAAGGACATTCTTTTTTTAAAAAAAGATTTTATTTTCAAGTAATCTCTACACCCAATAGGGGGCTAGACCTACAACCATGAGATGAAGAGTCACATGCTCCACCAAATGAGCCAGGAGGAGTGCCTTAAGGACATTCTTTTTTTTTTCTTTTTTCATTTAAATTTTAGTTAACCTACAATGCAATATTGGTTTCAGGAGTAGAATTCAGTGATTCATTTCTTTATAACACCCACTGCTCATCCCAACAAGTGCCCTCCTTAATGCCCATCGCCCATCTAGCCCATCCCCCCCCACCTCCCTCCAGCAATACTCAGTTTGTTCTCTATCATTAAGAGTCTCCTGTGGTTTGTTCCCCTCTCTTCTTCCCCCTCCCCTTCCCCTATGTTCATCTGTTTTGTTTCTTAAATTCCACATATGCGTGAAATCATACAGTATTTGTCTTTCTCTGATTGACTTATTTCGCTTAGCATAATACATTCTAGCTCCATCCACGTCATTGCAAACGGCAAGATTTCGTTCATTTTGACGGCTGAGTAATACACCATTGTGTGTGTGTGTGTGTGTGTGTGTGTGTGTGTGTGTGTACCACACCTTCTTTACCCATTCATCAGTCGATGGACATTTGGGCTGTCTCTATAGTTTGGCTATCATTGATAATGCTGCTATAAACATTGGGGTGCAGGTACCCCTTTGAATCTGTATTTTTGTATCCTTTGGGTGAATACCTAGCAGTGAAATTGCTGGATTGTAGGGTAGTTCTATTTTTAATCTTTTGAAAAACCTCCATCCTGTTCTCCAGAGTGGCTGCACCACTTTGCATTCCCACCAACAGAGCAAGAGGGCTTCACTTTCTCCGCATCCTCACCAACATTTGTTGTTTCTTGTGTTGTTAATTTTAGCCATTCTGACAGGTGTGAGGTGGAGTCTCATCATGGTTTTGATTTGTATTTCCCTGATGATGAGTCACGTTGAGCATCTTTTCATACGTCTGTTAGCCATCCGGATGTCTTTGGAAAAGTGTCTATTCATGTCTTCTGCCCATTTCTTAAGTGGGTTATTCGTCTTTCGGGTGTTGAGTCTGGTAAGTTCTTTACAGATTTTGAATACTAACCTTCCAGGACATTCTTAAATGAAACTGGAATCTGTTTTCCTGTGTGTATGTGGTGACAGTTGGTGCCATGTGCCAAGAAGGTGGCCATTTTGCCCTCTATTGCTTTTGCATCATCAGAAGGGTCACCACAGTGAAAAAGCCAACATCTTAATATTACTATGAAAATAGTTTTTACCTTACAGACTCTCTGAAAGGGTCTCAGAGACACCCCTTAGTGTTCCTCTCTCCTCAGCTCTCCAACCCCAGTGACCTCTGGCTACTCCAAATTCTATTGCAGCACTTAGTAGATTGCGGGTATCTCTGAGTCTGTGAGGTAAAAACTATTTTCATATTAATATTACAATATTTTTGTTCCCCAAGTTCTTGCTTTGTAATTGATTCTACCCTCTATTTTTAACAATAATAAATGATTTGGCATATCTATTGCATGTCAAACGCTATTCTAAACATGAAAAATACAGTAGTCAACAGGACAAGTAAGTCATTGCTCTCATGGCCCTTATATTCTAAGATAGACAATAAACTTGTAAATAAATGAATGCATGAGACATAAGCCCTATAATGATTAAAAATAGACTGACGTGACCAAAGGCGAGCTTGTAGTGAGATGGCTCCAAAATGAGGGGTGTCAAGTGTGTGCTCTGGTGTGAATAATGGTAATTCATGAGAAGAAATGAGGACGGGTGAAGTTTCCAGTAGACTCGCTGGGGTAAAACTAGAATTCCCCTGGAAAGCTCGGACAGGGAAGAGGGAAGAAGGCATGGTTCTTCGTGTTTGAAGGAGTGCCATGTTATCCTTTCTGGGGAGGACGGTACCTCACCAGCCTTCTGGGGGAAATAGCCAGGCAGCGACTGGTACAGGATTGCTGAGGTTACTGGTTGCTGCTTGTTCCTTCTAGAGGCTGGTGGGAGAAGGGGCCAAGGAGGGAACTGGATTTATGTGTAACATGAAATTTTGGTTGTCCTGGTTGTGATACCCAGCCGACATCGACATCCAGAGGCTGGCTCTCACCTCTTTTTGTTGTGGTTGTTTATTTATTTATTTTGAGAGAGAGCAAGCACGAGGCGGGGAGGAACAGAGAGAGAGGGAGAGAGAAAGAATCCCAAGAGACTCCGTACTGTCAGCACAGAGCCTGAGGCAGGGCTTGAACCCATGAACCATGAGATCGTGACCTGAACGGAAATCAAGAGTGGGTGCTTAACCGAGTCACCCAGGAACCCACGGCTGTCACTTCTGATTCAGGGTATTCTAAATCCACGACTAGAGCACACTAACAATTTTCGTGTCAGTATTCACCTAAGCCAGCTGTCTGGGGGCAAAACCAAACGAATGAAAATAAAAAGAGAGAAATCCCACAAAACTCAAAAGAAGGGCTTGTAGGTCCTGTTGCAAAAAGCACCTTGCGATGGAGGAAATTCTATGCCACTCACTTGAAAGAGCTCTGTAGAATCAGTTCTACAAGATGGCAAGAATCAGTTCTTGCCCTGTTTTCCTCTCCCCTTTCCCCCAGAAAGGTGTCCCCGCTGTTCCTACTGAAGGAATGTGTCCTCTGCCTCTCCAGGGCACGTTTCCGGTGTTTTCTTCTGCTGAAGCTCCTCTCATTAGTCCAGGGGAGGCGTCTCTTCTCTCCTGGAGCTCCACCTTTCCCTTCTCTTCTCCGTGAGCCCGCTCCTCTGGGTCAGTGCCCCTTCCCCCACGCTGAACAGGAGAGCCGCGATTTTGTTTCCTGAGTTTCACCTTTTCCTGTAAGTATGAATTAGTGTAACCCCAAAACAGGTATAATTTACCTCTTCCGTGTGTCCTTTTTTCCAACCACTTCATGGTTTTCAGAAGGGACATACCGGACAGGTCGCAGGTCTCGGTGCAGAGTACTGTGTAAATACAGTGTAAAGTCGACTTACAATGTGACAAATGTCTCTCCTCTCAAAGTGCCCATCCAAGGCCATCCATTCAATCTCCTCTACTCATTAAATCAGAGCAGATTCCCCCTTCTTAGTAAAGCGTAAAATTCTGCAGGGCAGGGACTATTGTCTGTCACCATACCCCTATAACCACAGCCTTTATAGACTGTTGACACTTTGATTGTAAGGGTGTTAGAAAAGGTGGTTCCCTCTATCCTCAGAGGCAGCTGGGGGTGGAGTGGGCATGCGTGTAGTGGGACCACGAGGGTTTCTCTAATCTCTACTCTGAGAGCAACAGTACTTCCATGGCGCCCACCCTCCCGCAACCACATAACTTATGACACGGTCCCTTTGGGGTTGGCTCTGAGGTGTTTAAAGCCACATATGCCACATTTAGCAACTCTGCAGCGTCTTCTCACAAGTGTCTTAAGAATGAGATACAGGGGCACCTGAATGGCTCAGTCAGTAAGCGTCCAACTTCAGCTCAGGTCATGATCTCGCAGTTCATGAGTTCGAGCCCCAGTTGGTCTCTGGAGCCTGCTCTGGATTACGTGTCTCCCTCGCTCTCTGCCCCTCGCCCACTCTCATTCTGTCTCTCAAAACAGTAAACATTAAAAAGAAATTAAAAAAAAAAAAAAAAGAATGAGATACATAGGTTTCCTGGCTGCCATGTCCTGACGACCACGTCTTCATCATTGTTGTTCTGCCTTTGAACTCCTGAAAATAGACCCCCATATGAACTTTACCGAGTGGGTCCTGCATTTCCACCACAGGACGATTTTTCCCATTTTAAAGTCACACGAATCACAGTGAGCCTTCCCTTGGGGCCCTGGGGAACCCTGGAGGGGGAACAACACGTTTTAATAAGGAAAGGGGGAGTCAGTCACAGGGAACCAGTAGGCTTTCACAGCTGCCCACCCCAGTTCTAGGCCACGAGCACGCACTCTAAGTGACGCATGAGTAATTTGCCTTGCGTGCCTATTGACAGTACTAGGATGGGGGTACGTGGTAGCTGTCGGGGTGGGTGGTGGCCCAACTAGCAGGAAATCCTAGAGAAGACAGGAAAGCGGAGGAAGAGCTGTCCGGTTTTCCCGACAGCCTCGTGCTTTACGGTAAATTTATACACTGCAGGGTGAGGCAGGAAGACCGGGGCGCATTCTAACTGGCCACTTGATCCCTGCCCATCCCAGATTCTCAGCTTTATAGCCAGCTTCTCTCCTTACTTCCAGATCTTTGGTTTCTGCAAGCCTCTGAGCCACCTCTTAGCTTGTTGAAATGTTCTTTCTGTCTCATTAAGTCCGATCGACCCCTTGCTTTGAGCGTCTCCTTTTATCCTCTGGGAACCTGTTGAACCACTGACTCCATCACCAGTGGCTGACCCGGTAGCAGCACCAGGCATGGGAGAAGACTGCCACGAGAAAGAAACTCCGGGGCACAGCGCAAGCTGTCTTTGTGCTCCAAATCTTAACTGTTCAAATATCTTCCTCCAAGTTCTACTTTTCGGTATAACTAAGCTCACGGAGAGCAGAAATAAAGGGAGCCGAAGTCGTAACTAATGTAATTTCCATTGTGGAATGTCAGCTCATTTATTTTTAGATGGAAATGTATCCCGCTTTGTCACCTCCCACCTAAGGCCCCCACGGAAGGTAGTAAGCATTGATAACGTTCGTTAAAAGCTGAGATTTCACATTTTGCTTATTTTTGTTTGGCTCTGCACAGCCAAAGGGCAAAGAATTCAGACAGCTTTCCTGCAAACACCCACTTTGCGTTTATACCGTGTACGAAAGCAAGCAGGCTCTGGCGGTTGCTGTCAGGGAAGAGGAAATTGTCCTCAGCTTAATTCCCAGAATGAAGAGTTCGAGCATGTGGCAGGAACACGGCGTGTGTACTTGAGAAACACAGGGCCCTGCTACCGCGCCGAGAGCAGACGGATGGCTTCAGCAATACACAGCCCGGGTTTGGTGAGGCCATTTCCTCCGTAAGAGGAACACTGTGCATCTTGGTGGATTTAATTTTGGTTTTGGCTTATGGTGCTTTAAGATTGCTACTCCAGGGGCACCTGAGTGGCTCAGTTGGCTAAGCGTCCCATACTTTGGCTCAGGTCGTGATCTTGCGGTTTGTGAGTTCGAGCCCCGCATTGGGCATTTTGCGGACAGCCTGGAGCCTGTTTCGGATTCTCTGTGTCCCTCTCTCTCTGCCCCTCCCCCACTCATGCTGTCTCTTTCTCTCTCAAAAGTAAAACATTTTTCAAAAATAAAATAAAATAAAATAAAATAAAATAAAATAAAATAGTCACTCTAGAAGCTGAATGTGTGAAGAAGACAAGCGCTTGTTCCCCCAAAATGTCATGGATTACATGGCCATGAACTGAACACCCACTCTGGTTTCTTGTCTGGTTAGGTGTCCCCCAAAGCAGAGCCCAGGTGCCTGGAAGCCAGGTGTTCATCACCTGGCCCTCCCCCACCTTTCCCATTTCGTATGTATTTAGTCAGGGTTCTGCAGACAAGTGGAACCAAGAAGATGCATCTAGAGAAAGGGATTTATTTTTAGGGATCTGCTCACACAATTTGGGGGAGGTGGCCAGTTCAGAATCTGTAGGGCAGGCTGGCAGGCTGGAAAGGCCAACAAGACCTGATGCTGCAGGCTGGAAGCATAATTCCCTCCCTGTCGGGGGACCTCACTCTTTCCTCTTAAGGCCTTCAACTCAACCCATCGATGAGACCCATCCACATTGTGGCACATATCTGCTTTACTCAGAGTCTGCTAATTTAAATGTTAACCATATCTAAAAAGATACCTTTCTGGGCAAATACAGACTGATATTTGGCCAAACTGGACCCCACACTCTAGCAAAGATGACTCATAAAATTAACCATCTGCACATAGTAAGTGCTCAACGAAATGATCTGATTTGATATGCAGTCCCAGACAAAACATGCTCCTGAGCCACTACGTCTTCAGCTGAATGATATAGGGGTTGGACTTCCTTCCTCCAATTCTGCTAGGCCAAGGTTACAAATGTAAGTCTTGAGAATGTAGACAAGGTGTGACCTCTGGTCCCTTCACACAAATTGAACAGCTTTAAATGAGATGATAACACCTTCCCTCACCATTGTGGCTGCCCCCAGTATTGGCAGCAATAGAATAAATCCTATACGGTGGTTCCCCCCTTATCCTTAGGTGATACTAAGACCCCCTAGTGGATGCTGGAAACCACAGATAGAATCAAACCCTACATATACTATACATACATACCTATGATAAAATTTAATTTAGAAATTCCGTGCAATAAGGATTAACAATGATAACTAATAGGCGATAAAACAGAACAATTATAATAATACACTGTAATGAAAGTTATGTGAATCTGGTGTCTCTCTCAGAATAGCCTATTGTCCAGCACTCACCCTTCTTTTTGTGATGATGTGAGATGATAAAATACCTATGTGATGAGAGGCAGTGCGGTGAATGACGTAGGCGCTGTAACTAATGTTGGGCTACTACTGACCTTCTGACAACATGTCAGCAGGAGGGTCACTGCTTCTGGATCATGGTTGATGGCACGTAACTGGAACTGTGAAAAGCAAACCGCAGATGGTGGGGGCTACGGAACAAAGTTCTATAATCCCATGAGCTGTCTTCTTGGTGTCCTGTTTTTCTCAGGCCTCACCACACCCAGGGGCAGGACTCAAGCTGCTTAGGGGGTCCAAATCACCAGTTCTCCAGAAGAAAAGGGCTCCTCCTCTAACAGTGAATAGGTTGCTTAAGAATTTAGAATGCACGGGTGAAGGAAATGCTTCTGAAGTTACTGGGGGCTCACAGAGAAGCTTCTAGAAAAATAGGCCCGAGATCCATCCTTGACTCCTGGTCTCTTTGTTGTTTTTTTCTTTTAACCAGCCGAGGAAGGAAATAATGTCCAGTGTCACTGGACACGGGAAAAGAGTCCATGAGGAGGAATGAGAGTCAAACCACAGTCAACACACAACCCTAAAGCAGTGCCTTGTCCATAACACTCAGTAATGTTCAAGGAATAGGAGCGCCTGGGTGGCTCAGCTGGTTGAAGTCCGACTCTTGACTTTGGCTCAGGGCATGATCTCAGGGTGCTGGGATTGAGCCCCATGTTGGGCTCTGTGCTGAGAGCATGGAGCCTGCTTGGGGCTCTCTCTCCCCTTCTCTCTCCCCTTCTCTCTCTGCCCCTCCCTTGCTTGCTCTCTCTCAACAATAATAATAATAATAATCATCATCATCATGGAATGGACCAGTTATCCTCTCATTTTATCCTTTCTCCATCTCTATTTTCCTGAACCCCTGCCCAGAGGCAGCATCCAGGGTCATGATTCCTTTTGCTCGATTCAACCCCAAGGCTTCAAGCAGATAAAACCAATATACTGGAGACCCTAAACACCATCGTGGTGCCTCAGCTTTGAGTCCATATATCAAATAGGATGGGCGTTTCGTTCAGGCAATGTTCCACAAGAAGGAAAAAAAGCAAATACTTTAGTTCAGTTTAGATAACACATAGACCTATTTCTGTTTTCTGTCTGACTCCATGTGTATGAGGATTTTGACATGAGGAAGGCAATTTGCTTTAGAAATGCGTTCTTTCATTTATTTTTGTTTGTTTGTTTTGTTTTCTGAATTTGCAGCTCACTGACTGAGCCAAGTCACTAACTCATGAATCTGGCATTTTAGGCATCTAGATTACATCTCTTGACAGTTGTTTTTATATGTGGAGTTTATTTGAAACAAATGCACAGTCAAGGATAAGTCCTTGGACTTGGAGCCAGTAGAACTGGGCTCTGATGAAACCCTGGACGTCATGTAGTTTATTTCTGCCAATGTAGAATAGATGCATAAAGCCAATGGTTTGTATTCCATGAGGCTTTGAGGGGATACTGAACTGTAAAGAGGTTAACAGGGACATAGGTCTGGAACTTAAAAAATTTATTGTGCTGTGTTGGATCAAGCTCAAAAAACACTAGCCTCCAAATCGGGTGACCTTAAGAGCCATAGTCATTACCTTTTATATCTCAGGCTCATCCTTTTCTACCAAAGAGCTATAGCTCTCAAATGAAATACATAATCACTCCCTGAGGGATATTAGGAAGTGATATTATGTCCTAAGAAGCAAACAAACTGGCACAGAGAGAGACAATAAAGGGATGGGAGACCCTTAACTGGTTGTGCCGAGGAAGATTTTTTTCAGAAGATAACGTCCAGGCTGAGAACTGAAGAGTCGGGAGCAGCGGGCCGTGGGGAGCTGATTTCACGGAAGTAGTGACAGTTAAGATGGACAACAGCGCGGCTGAGGAGCTGTGGGGACCGTGTGCCACCCCCATGGCGTCTGCCCCGCGCTCCTGGCCTGCTGGTGCTGACGTTCACAGAGAAGGCAGACGGCAGGGAGAAGGAGAGATGGGGAGGAAAATCAAAAGCTACGTTGTGAACAGGTCCTGTTTGTGACGACCGTGAGAATTCCAAGGGGAGATGTAGGGTAGGCGTGTGCATGTCAGGGTCCTGGCAGGAAACCAGAGCCAGGGGAAGAGAGCCTCATCAAAAGGCTCTTTACAAAGGTGTGGGCAGAGTTTAGGAAAAGCAAAGAGGCAGTGCGGTGCCCTGAAGCTGGTGACAGAGGGGAGGCGTTCCCATGCCTGGGCCTGAAGAAGCAAGGGAAAGGGTTAGTGACTGGTTGGGAGAGGAGGCTGGGGGACTAGAGGTGGATGGAGAGGACCTTCTGAAAGTGTCTGTGGCCTTCAGTGGAGAGACACAGCCGGTCTGAGGTGAACCACAAAGAGGGAGCTGCGCTAATCGACTTATTGCCCTCACCCTCCTACCTTTCAATCTTCTGCTGGAAACTTCTATTGGCTAAGCCCAGCTGGAAGTCAGAGAGCCTTCTAATGTCGTTCACAAAAGTCAAACTGCTAGGGCAGAGAGGAGGGTCATCAAGAGTACAGAGTGGGTCTGGAAGGACAAACAGAATATACACACCACAAGGCAGCTGGATACACAAGTTGGAGCTCTACAGAGACGCGCGAGCTGGTTAGAAAGAGTGGGCAAATAGGCAGGAATTAAAGTTTTGGCAATAGATGGAAGGAGAGCATCGTGGAAGGAGAGCAAGTGAGGAGCAGTGAAGAACTCTGCTATTAGAGCTTAGCTGGGGCACCTGGGTGGCTCAGTCGGTTGAGCATCCAACTGTAGCTCAGGCCATGATCTTGCGGTTCGTGAGTTCGAGCCCCAAATCAGTCTGCTGCCAGCCTCTCAGTGCAGAGCTGGCTTCGGATCCTCTGTCCCCCTCTCTCTGTGCCCCTCCCCTGCTATGCTTGCTCTCGCTCTCTCTCTCTCTCTCTCTCTAAATTAATCAATTTAAAAAAAAAAAAAACATTAGAGTTTAGCTGGAGAATAAAGAGGACTTTGCAAAGGAGACTGGAAAAAAGTAGCCAGAAACCAAGGAGGAGAACCAAGATAGTGTGGTGTCACAGAAGGGCCAAGAGGAGATGAGCGCAACAGAAAGAGGCAGTCATCCTCCTGCGTCAAATGCTCCTGGAAGCTGATAACAGAAATGCGCCTCTGGCTTTGGCAACGTCACTCAGCAACTATGCCAAGCACCATGCTTGTGGCTGTTGCAAAGAGGGGTGAGCCCTGGATTCTGAGGACACCCCAACCTAGACATGGGACCAGGCATTCTGTGGGGTGACTGATCTGATAGAAATAGGAACAAATGCCTTTTGAAGCAGAAAGGGTACGGGGAAAAGTTACCTAAGGACAATCAGTTATGTATATGGTGTGTATAGCAATTCTTCGGAACAAAGAATTCCAATACCGGGAAAATCTTGCATTTTAAGCAAGAGGAAAGTGAAACTCAGGAAAGTAAAACAACCTGTCACTCCTTGAATCAGTACCCCTTTGGGAGGATGCTGACAATCTGAATATTCTCTTGATTTCAGACTTTTTTGATTAGACTTTCAAAGGACAGACCTATGACCTATGCTTTATTAGAATCAAGATGTTATTTACTTAAAAATTTTCTGTGAAAGTAATATGTTTATGCCAAAGAATTGTTAATAATATAAGAAAATTAAAATCACTCTTAATTGCATAATCCATACCCCTAAGTTTCTAGAATGTTTTTTCAGTTTTTTCCTGAGTGCATGTATGGCTGCCTAGACATTTCTCTTTAAAAAATGTTTTCCACACAACCAACAGAGTGAAATGGCAACCACAGAATGGGAGAAAACATTTGCAAATCATGTATGTATAGAAGGTTAACATCCAGAATATATAAAGATCTCCTACTATGTTGAACATCACTGATCATTAGGGAAAATGTAAATCAAAACCACCCTGAGATACCACCCCATCCACCAGAATGGCTACTATGGGGGAAAAAAAAAAAAGGACACACGCATATAGAAAACAATAAGCGTCAGCAAGGATGTGTAGAAATTGGAATTCTTGCGCACTGTTGGTGGGATGGAAAATGGCGCAGGCTCTACAGAAAACAGTATTGCAGTTTCTCAAAAAATTACAAACAGAATTACTATATTACCTGGCAATTCTATTTCTGGGTATATATCTAAAAGAACTGAACGCAGGGCCTTGAACAGATACTGGTACTCCTATGGTCATCACAATATTCTTCACAACAGCCAAAAGGTTAAAAGCAGCCCATTCTACTGACAGATGAGTGGATAAACAAAATGTGACATATACATACGATGAAATATTGTTCAGCCTTGAAAAGGAGTGGAATTCTGACACACGCTGTAACACGGACGAACCTTGAGGGTATTGTGCCGAGTGAAACGAGCAGGCACAAAAATACAAATACTGTGTGATTTCACTTATAAAAAGTACCAGGGCAGTCACACTCATCAAGATAGAAAATAGAATGGTTGTGGCCAGGGGCTGAGGAAAGGAAAGAAAATGGGGAGGAAGGAATGTTGCTTTACTGGTACAGAGTTTTTAAAAATTATTTATTATTTATTTATTTATTTGGTGAGAGAGAGAGAGAGTGGGGGAGGGGCAGAGAGAGAGGAAGAGAGAGAATCCCAAGCAGGCTCCTGGCTGTCAGTGCAGAGCTACATGCGAGGCTCAATCCCATGATCTGCAAGATCAAGATCTGAATTGAAATCAAGAGTCGGATGCTTAACGCCACCCAGGTGCGTTGGTATGGGCTTTCACTTTTGCAAGATGAGAAATTCTGGACATTGGCGGTACAACAAGGTGAATGTATTCAATGCTACTGAACTAGATGCTTAAAAACTGGCTAAAATGATACCTGTTATGTTACACGTATTTTACTGCAATTAAAAATTCCACATTAAAATGTTTATAATTTTGTTTTACTTCATTTAAGAATACCAAGTGAACGTCTTTTCATATCAATAAACATTTTTTATATTATTATTTTAGTTGCTACACCATGGTCTGTTTTTGTTTTTGTTTTTGTATCACTTACTTAGTCAAATCTGTTTATGGACATTCGGTTTTCTACAGAGCTAAACATCATAAGCAAGTTGCAGTGGACGTCACTATAGCTACATCTCCGCCAAATGTATAATTATTTCCCAAGAATAAGATTAAGATAAGAATAAGAATAAGATCAAAGGAGAACAGAGCTTGTCAGGGGTTAAGCAGGTGGGAAATGTAATACAAAAGCTGAAATATGAAAACCAATCAGCAGAGAACTGAAGTGAGGTGTGATAAAAATTAAGTGCTATGCAAAATACTTCTAGTTGGAGAAAGGAAATGTTATTTACCTATTTGTTATTCTTTATTCTTTACCTGTTCCTTTATTCTTTACATATTCTTTACCTATTCTTTATTCTTTACCTCTTCCTTTATTCTTTATATAAATTATACTAAGATTCTGCTATGCACCATTGTTCTGGACACTGATTTCGAATTGTCTTAGATACTCTCTTATCCCTCCGGAAACCCAAAGACTAGGGAAGAGAGAAGCAAGTAAATCAACATTTCAGTGCAGCTTAGTGCAGAAGGGAATGGAGCTATGCCTCAGGTCTAATGGGAGAAGAGGAAATTCACCAACGGGGAAGGCTTCTTAAAGGAAGTGGCCATATGTCAGTCAGCTGAGTTTTGACAGGAGTCAGAGTTAAGTTACACTTAAGAAAGTGGGTAACTAAATGGGGTAGCCCAATCCAAGATGGCCCCCAACGATCCCTACCTCTTGGTATTCACAGCCTTGTGTAGCCAATCTCTCCCACAGGATTGGGGCTGTTCTGAGTCACCAAGAGAGAATGGTAGAGAAAACACTGTCTGAACTCTGAGGCTAGATTACAGAAAGCACTGAAGCTTTTACTTTGCCCTCTTGGATTACTTGTCCTGGAGGAAGCTGGTTCCTAGGCTATGAGGATATTCAAGCAACACACATGAAGAGGAACTGAGGCCTCCCACCAAGAGTCAGTGCTAACTTACCAACCACATGAATAAGGCACCTGAGACGTGGATCCTTCAACCCAGCGGGAGACAGGTCCGGCCAACACCTTAACTGAGGTCTCATGAAGGAGCCTAAGCCAGAACCAAGAGACGTAATAAGTGATGACTGTTTTTGTAAGCCACTAAAAAGTTTTGGGGTGATCTGTTTCTCAACAATAGTTAAATTAACACACTATATCTAAGCATGGGTGAATGCATAGCTGAAAATTTTTAAATATGGGAGATATTTGGAGTGACCTCAGAGAAGGTAACGTGGGGGAACGGAAGTAGCTGGAAACAGAGAGGAATGCCTGGGCCAGATACTCCTTCGTTTTTGCCAACAGAACCAATACCGTTCACGTATTAGGGGAATATCTGGATGAGGTCACACAGGTAGAATGTGTCTCTTAAGAAAAACAGCAGTCTCGACAGCTGGTTGAGCATCCGACTCTTGATTTTGGCTCAGGTCACGATCCCAGGGTCATGTGATCGAGCCTTACACCGGATTCCTCACTGAACATGGAGCCTTCTTAAGATTCTCTCTCTCTCCCCGCCCCCACCCTGCCCTGCTTGTGCTCTGTCTCTAAAATAAATTAAATTAAATTAAATTAAAATAAATTAAAGTAAATAAAACAAAACAACAGGCTGATGGGAAAGCCTCGGCTGAGAGAAAACCCTCAAAGGGTGAGCAGACAATGAAAACTCCAGTGTCATGGAGTTCTAAAAGTTAAAGGAAGAGTTTCAAAAAAGAGGGGGTGGCCTCTCTCTCTCTCTCTCTCTCAAAGGCAGCAAAGAAGTCAAGCAAGGCCTGAGAAACGGGTACTGGAATTGTCACCGTGGACTACAGTGAGGTGTGCACAAAGTGCCAGGGAAAGTGCCCCGGAAGGCAGGAAAAACGAGCCACATTTGAGTAGAGACTCCAGGAGCGGGGGAAGTGGACAAGTGAAAGGGATTTCACATTCAGGTGTGTCTGGACCGTGGGATGGGAGTGGAGGTGGGCAATGGTGAGGCCAGAAGGCAAAAGGTTTTAGGGAGAGTACGCTAAAGAGCCTTTAAAAAAATTCAGTTTATTTTTGGGGGGGGGGGGGCGGGGAGAGAATCCCAAGCAGGCTCTGCACTGACAGTGCGGGGCTCCAACTCACAAACCCTGAGATCACGACCTGAGCTGAAACCGAGTCCCACGCTTAATGGACTCAGCCACCAAAACGCCCTGAAAGATCCGCAACTTTAACGTGCAAGAGGGTGATTTTTGAACTGTCCCCTGAAGAGCCCAAGGGCTTCCCACCTGCCAGGCTGCTTGATGGCAGAGGGCGGGCGGGATGGTGAGGTGGGTTCTGGCCTCCACCTTCCCACTCCCTTTTCAAACACATTGTGCTTCTGATTCGTCCTTCCTTCGGAGGCTGTATTCCACGGCCAGAATTCTGAAAACCAGCCGTGTTGGCGATGGAAGCCGTGGCCTTAGAGAAGCGCCAGGCTCAAGGAGAGGGGATCACGTCCTCTCACCACACAGGAGGGCGGGCAAGGCCCTGAGGGCCACCTGCAAAAACGTGCAGGTTTTCTGGATCAGCTTCAGTAGCAACGTGGAATAGAAAGGGACCTGGGGCTTCGCCGAGGGCTCAAACCTTACCAAGGCCCCGCAAAGGACGGCACTGCCGCAGTGCGGCCCTTCCTGAGTCACGCTTCCCCGTGGCACACCTGTCATTAGCTCCTGTTTCAATCTCTGCTTCCCAGGGGATGAAGCAACTCACCAAACATACACCCTCACCCAGCGGCAGAGGCGGGGTTAGCTCCCGTACTCGGACTCGGACTTTAAACTATTGTTTAAAGTCTTCAACCACCAGATGAAAATAGTGGAACAGCAGGGCTGTTCGAGGCACGGGCGGAGGGGGGCGGGTGAGTCGTGGGAAGCGAGGCCCAGGGAGGGGCGCAGGTAAAGTGAAGAGAGGCATCCCAGCCTGTCGGGTTTGCCCGAATCTGGTTCCTTCTGTGCCAAGCAAGAGAAAGTCGTGCTCTCTGAGCCCCCTGCTGTCTCTCATGACGTGGCGCTGGTTTTCAAAAAAGTCTAACGTGTTCAAATGTGCCAGCTTCCCGTTTTCTGTCAGTTTCTAGAACGGTGCAATTCAAGGGAGGAGAGGAGGATCCTTCCTGTTCTGTAACACGCTTACATCCTAAAGCGCTCACCTTCGGGAGTCGCGCCCTACGTGGCGCAGAGCGAACGGATCCTCGGGCTGCTACGTGACTGCGCGCTCGCCGCGCCCCTCGCCGCCCCGCCGGCGCCCCTGTCCGCGCGCTTGGCCGCCGGGCGTCCCGGGGGGCGGGGTCTCCTAGGCGAGGCGGGGCGGGGCCTCCCCTCCGGCCTCCCACGCCCTCCACGCGCGCGGGTCGGGGAAGCTCCGGGAGCAGACGCGCTCGCAGCCAGGTGCGGAATTCCGTCTCCTTTCTCCACCCAGGGCGCGCAAGGTCACCGCCGCGCTCCGAGCCCTGCTTCCTCGTTCTTACGCTAGGGGCTGGCGCCATCCCGGGGCCCTTACAGCTCTCAGGTCTGAGGCTGTGTTGTCCTGAATGTCGCTTTTCTGTGCCCCTGTCTGCAAAGCGCCGCGAGTTCCTTGGGATAACAGTGGTGACTTAAGTTTGCCACCCATTGCTTATGAAATCCACTAAAATGCCACTTTAGAATCAGTGCTGACTTAGATGCAGTGACTGTCACATCGTCCCTGTATAGTTTACCAGTCACTTTAAATGGTAGGCTGGGATACAAATCATTACTTCCATTTTGTCGATGAGGAAATTAACGTTGTTTTTTTATAGTAATAATCATTACTACTAAAAAGGTAAATTGCTAAAGAATTTACATATATGAAACTCCTTCTTCTGGAGCCACTTTCAAAGAATGCTCCAGATCTGACCTTAAACAAAGGTAAAGGGCAAAGCGATGTTATCTTTTAGGTCAGGAAAATAAACAGAGTTTTCTGTTTTCTTCCCTCTTTTGTAAGCAGTGACATTTGAGAGGTTTCTCACCAGCAGGTTTTTGCTTATGCCTGAAAATTATCTGACTGACATTAGCCTAAACAAGGGGCAGGGGCAATCTAGGGGGACCTCCCTTGTGCTTTAAATAGAATGTAGTGAGGTCACAGAAATGGGGGCCTATAGTTTTTTAGGGGAATATCTTCGTGCTCATTTTATGATCTCCCTGACCCCTGAAAATGGCGAGGAGGGTAGAAAGGAATAAGATTTCTCTGCAGCTGCTTGCTTCCTTGGTGAGGCTTGGAGAGCGTCCAAAGAACCCCAAGGGAAGCAGTCCAGCTGTGTAACTGGTCTGGGGTGGGAGTCGTGAGGGTGCATATGAGTCCCATCTGCAGAGCCTCTATTGACTGTGCATTGTAACCTGTACTGCAGTGTGAGGAGATGACTCTCTCTGCCTTAGAAAGCTCACAAAAGTTGCCTCAAGTGGAACCACTGGGAAATCGCAGAACTGACTTTCAAACCCAACTATCTGAACTCCAGCTTCAGTACTGTCTCCTATTTCAAAGAACACAAATGGTCTCAGGCCCCATCAGAGTGAGTCCTAGGATGGCAGAGACTTCCAGGGGAATGAGAGTGTGGGTCTCTCTAATCTCCAGTGACCCGGCTCCAAAGCAGTGGGATTGGGGCGCCTGGTTTCTCAGTCATTTGACCATCTGATCCTTGATTTCAGCACAGGCCTTGATCCCAGGGTTGTGGGATTAAGCCCTGAGTTGGGATCCGTGCCGAGTGTGGTGCCTGCTTTGGATTTTCTCTCTCTTCCTTTCTCTCTCTCTGTCTCTCAATCTGCTCCTCTCCCCCTCTCACTCTGTCTCTACAATAAAACAAATAAATCATTAAAAAAAAAAGGGGGGGAGGATTCATTGAAAACAAAGTCACACAATAAGAATTGGCAAAAGGTGGCCCGTGGGCCAAACCTAGCCCATAAAAGGCCAGCAAGTTAAGACTGGTTTTCATATTTTTTAGTGGTTGGGGGAAAAGCTTTTTTTAAGGAATATTTTGTGACATAAAAATTTATGAAATTCAAGTTTCCATAGCCACAAATAAACTTTTGTTAGAACCTATCCATGCTCATAGCGTGTATGGCTGCTTTCACGTTACTAACTCTGCGTTGAATAAAGTCGTTTATCGTTATTCACCATAATCAACTTCTATAAAGTTACCAGGAATACTGAATTAGCAAACACTGAACCATTGCTCTTGAGGGAAATACAGGGTGAGGGGCCTCCAAGCCTTGGTCACAACATTTTTGTCAACAGATGAATATATAACCTTATTTTGTGTGTATTTATGTTAAAAGAAATTTCATTTTCCTGTATTATTTATTCATGGACATTGCACACGTGGCCAACTTGTGCTGGGACAAAACTTGGCTGGCCTACACAGTTTTCCCCTTTTAAGGCCCATCACAGCCTTCTTGCCCGTAGAGCATTGACAGCCCTACAGCACTACGCTTGGGCGCTATCTTAAACATGGCGATCACTCACAAAACACACACAAAAACCATGACACTAAATAGACCACCGAAAGGACATTTGTGTGCAGTATGAAAGCCGAAATGAGAAGACAGAAGGTTGCCTTGTTCACCGTCACAGCTGGGAACGTAGGTGTCTGGTGAGTCACGTTTTTCAATGCTCTGCACATGTCCCTGAATAACTAACTACAAAGGCACCACCAGTATTGCCTTGGGGATTATAAATAAATTTCAGTGGGGCGCCCGGGTAGCTCGGCCGGTTAAGCAACCGACTCTTGATTTCGGTTCAGATCATGATCTCACGGTTCGTGAGTTCAAGCCCCTCATTGAGCTCTGAGCTGATAGTGCAGAGCCTGCTTGGGATTGTCTCTCCCCTTCTCTCTCTCTCTCTCTCTCTGCCCCACCCTAAAGTGCCTGCTCTCTCTCTCTCTCTCTCTCAAGATAAGTAAATAAGCTTAAAAAAATAAAATAGATTTAAATAAATAATTTTTAGTGAGGGGGCAAATTTCTAACTATGGAATCCAATTATAACGAAGATCCACTCTTCTCACAGCAGAGAACCGTGTGGACCATAAAATACACAATTTTACTGGATGGCCCTTCATGAAAAAGTTTGCCAGCCCCTGCTCTACAGTGTTTTCTCAGCCTTCCCCCCAAAGAGAGTGAAACAGGACAACAAAGGGACACCATAGTGGTATCCAAACTAGAGAGCACTCATAGGAAGAGCAAAATGAAATCATTCACGAGGTCAGAAAACTGGGAGTTCATGTAATTGAAACCGTAGAGTAAAGCTTCAGTTTCTTCTTGCCTCAGATCTTCTGGTTTTCATTCAACAAACCAGTATTTTCCAGTACCTCTCATTTGCATGGGTCTGTACCCAGAGTCGAGTTTAGTTAGTAACCCCCTTCCTTGGTCAGTGTGTTGCGGACGGAAGCAGTAAAGGGTGGGAGAGGAGAGAGGACTTGACACAAAGCCTGGCCAATTTATAATAGACTGTTTATGTACTTGGATAATCAGCTTCTGCAACAGATTATGTGAAACACTTTGTTTGCTTGTATGGCGTTCTGGTCGCAGAAAAGATCTGAGACGGCTCACAACCGAAGCACGTCAGCTGGAGCGAGAAGAGCGGGTGGGTAGGTGAGGGGGGTCTGAGAAGTGATCCGATACAAGCAGGCAGTCCCTAGGGGCCAGGGATTGTTACCGTGAGTTTCGGGTTCGATTCTGAGGTTCCCAGCTCAAAAAACTCCGGTTGGGGGAGATAAAAGTCAGTTCTGACGGCAAACTCCGAGGACAGGGACTTTCTGCTAGTCCTCAGGAGTAGACCGGTTTCCTGATGTGAGGTTTCTCAGAGTGAGACCAGGAGGGGCAGGGGCCCAGCTCCACAAACCCAAGCAGATCCAAACCAAATGCTTAACGGCTTCCTACCCCCATGAAAATGCAACTCTGTATTTTCTTTGGAACCTAAACGTTAAATGTCTGAGTATTTACTTTTCCCATGTCTGGCTGTACCCAAAGAAAACACCTAAAGTACCAAGAAGCGTGATACACTGAGTAATTTTGAAATAGCCCTTCACGGGGGACATTCTCGTCCAGCCTCTGGCTAAGGGTTGGAAGGCATCAGGTCAGCGCTGAGAGAGACCATAGTTTGTTGTTAACTGAAGTGCAGTCCGTATAGACTAGAAATTTTAGACGGCTGTGGAGTGTGAAGGGCCAGCAGGCAAAGCCAGGAACTTTTCTCAGGAAACACTTCAGGGTCCACCCCAGCCTTGAACAAGCCACCGCTTTATTCTACAGGGAGGGCTAGAGGTGATTTCATCCTGGAAGATTTTCAAAGGCCACCACCCCATGAAAAAATTCCAGCAATGCTTACATTTGCATGGCCAAAAAAAAAAAAAAAAAAAAAAAGCATGTTTCTCCTAAGACCCTCATGGAGACCAGTATACATGAAGTCCCTTTATGCTTACCCTGACCCTTAGTCTAGGTGACATATTTCTTCTTCCTGTTTCTTGACATGGAAACAGAGTCTCAGACAGATTAAGGACTGGAGTCCCAGAATTCTGATCCCATTGAAATTTTCCATCAGTCACGTGCTATTACTCCCAGCTACCCGTGCTCAGTGATGTCATAGTGGAGCCCCGTGTGGAATATGAAGTAACAGGCTGTGTGCTGGGCGACAGCAGAAGTCACCTGCACCCCAGGAGCACACGCACCACAGCACTGTCAGCTCAGCCTGGACACAAACCGATGTCATTCCCAAGCCTCGCAGTGTGGGCTGGCCAATCCTCACGGGGGTCAGAGTTCATCCTAGCTGCCCAAAGACCTCACCATCGACCTGAGCATTAGATTTTTACGGAGGGGAGTTCACTAGAGCGGGATCACACAGCGAGTCCTTGAACTGGGCATCCATGTATTGAAATTCACTCCTCCCTCTCCCTGTCCACCCCCTACCCTCTGCAAGAAGTCTCTACAGGTTTCTAAGCCGATCCGCACACCTGAGACCAAGCAGGTGCTAAAGATAATGCTAAAAATATGATCAGACGAGTAGACCATAAGCCCTTTCATGTCGAGGATTAATTTGAAGGGATTTGTCAAGCGCAGAGGTCTTCTCCTGGCCTGGTGGAATCCAGACTCTCCTTGTACTGGGGTGGAGAATCCCCTTCCGAAATCGCGTCTTTGAACCAGGATGCAGCTCTCTCGGGAAGCGTTAAAAAGTTACGAGTCTCAGCTCGGAGCCTGAACATGAAACCTCAGCCCTTCAACCTCACTTAGGTCTTTTTATTTTTCTTCCCAGATTGCTGCAACCAAACGAACTCCATTGCTCCTAGCAGTGAATCCCAGAGGTGAGGCTTGAGGCAAGGATAAGGGAGTGTGAGAAGAGGCCCTTTATCTGGGATGAGAAACGTAGGATTGAAAACAGAGGGTGGTGATTCAATTACATATCATACGTTTCCTGTCCATTACAGACTAATGTCAGACAGTTCAAAGATTTTGCTTCTTAAAGCTTCGATTTCTATTTGTGGGCTGTTAGTGCTGAGTGAAATAAATATCTTCAGATTTAATTGCTTGTTATTTTTTAAAGGAGAGGTTTTTTTGTTTTTTTTTTTTTAAAGAATAGGTGAGTAGGTAAATGAGTTGAAAAGTTAGCTAAGGTACAATCACCCCTGCCAGGATGCATGTAAAACAGAATCCCAAGGAAAATCATCAGTGTCATTTGAAGCCGAGAGATGGAATGCAATTGCAAACAGCTGTGGTAAAGCCCTAGCTCACTGAGAGCTTAATACAAAGGAGGAGGAACATACCTTGTGAGCATCTGGCGTTGAGTCTCACTCTTGCCATTTTCTGGAAAGAAATCAAAAAAAGACCCAGCATCCAATGTCAATGTGTTTGTCCATCCTTACCCTAATTGAGATTTCTTCCAGGCTCCATTAGCCCTCACTCTGAGGACAGATGCTTATTTAGATTGATTGTGTTGCAGAGTCCAGACTGATAACGGGGACAAGAAAGATACATACCCACAGTCCAGTTTCCTCTGCATCTCTCATTAAGGGGGTGTTCACAGAGCCCTCCAGATACTCTCTTATAAATTGTTAGATTTCAGTTTCCCCAGTTAGGTGGAGGCTCCGAGTCAGCAAAGAGCCACATCTGCTGTTGACTGTGTCCCCTGGACCCTTGCTTATAGTAGGTGTTTGGCAATGTTTGCTGGAAGCTGTAGGCATGGTCTGGAGCAAAAAGTTCCTCCTCCAGCACGTGCAGACCAGGAGGGAGCCCTCCTTCCCCTCCACTTGTCTGAGCCTGGAACTGAACCTGAGCTTTTCCTGGTAGAAACTACATATCCTTCATCCTCTGTCTTCGAAGGCAAGTCTTGCTGTAAAGCCGATTGTCTGATCTGTTTCACACTTTTTTGGAGCTCTGGGCATATGACAGGTACTGGGTTAGGTGTTGCGGACAGAGAAGGAAGTAATGTTTGCCCCTGAAGAGGTGACTGTCTGGTAGGGGCAGCACCAGGCCAAAACCCAAACAAATCAAAACAAAGCACAAATCCAGACGATGACAAAATCGTGTGGCAAAACAGAGCCTGGAGGAAAGACACTTCACCCAGCCCTGGGGGCCTTCTTAGAGTCTCTTGATGCGTGGATTAGAGTGAGCTAGGCAGGGTTAAAAGTTTCCACTCAGCTGTTTCGCAGAAGTGTTTGGACACGTGAGCAGGCAGGACCTTTGAGTCACCTGGAGGACCGCCTGTGGCTTGGCTGATCAGCGGCCAACTGAATAACCTGGACGTGAGTAGGGGAGGAAGATTGGCCGTGGGTTTCCAACCTCTTCGTCAGCCAGGATACCGGCTCTATTTTGTTTTGTTTATTTTGTAATCGTCAGGGACTTCACATTTTGAAACCTGATGTCTGGCAATGAAAGTGCATGAAGCCAAACTAACTAATTAGTTTTTCTAATTATAATTTATCAAAACCACATGTTATCATATTACCTCCAGTTGAAGCTTCTGATTATCACAGGATAGCAAGGAACACCATCTGGGGAGGATGAAATTCTCTATAAATCAGCAAAGTGTTTTAACCAATTTGTACAGATTTACTGTGCTAAGATGTGATTTGCATCATTTTGTCTTTTAAACTTTATTTATTTTGAGAGACAGCGTGAGTGGGGGAGAGGTGGCGGGGTGGGGGTGGGGGTGGGCACGGAGAGGGAGAATCCCAAGCAGGCTCTGTACTGTCAGCACAGGGCCCGAGGTGGGGCTCGATACCACGAACCGAGATCACAACCTGAGCCGAAATCAAGAGTCAGATGCTTTCCCGATTGAGCCACCCAGGTGCCCCTTGTGTTTTGTTTTTTAAAGATATTAAAGTAGTAACCAGTTCTTTATTCTGGTAAACACTAGCCTTGTGAATCAGAGACTGTGTTGGAATATCAGAGAGTCTAGGGCAATTTCTGACTTTTTTTTTTTTTTTTTTTGCGAATGTGCTCACTTATTTCATTAAGTTTTTTGGTTGACGTAAGTCACTCTTTTTCCCATTCTACTTCACCGTGAAGCTTCCAGCTCATCACGGAAGGGATTCATGAACAGAAGTCATTGTCTTCAATAAGCTAGGGTATTCGAGGACCTAAAACATCAAGCTAAGAAAAAAAATAAATCCGTGGGTTCCTGATAATTATCAAGGAGCCCATCTCCTTACCTGGCCCTGGAATCTTTTATGAGGTGACCTGTAGGCACGTGGTCAGCACTCCAGGGCACGGGCGGGGCCGCTCTGTTCCTCCTGAAGCCAGGCCACCTCCCATCACCCACGGTTTCAGCTGCCTCCTTTATACTCTTCCAAATGCGCGCCTTAGCCCAGGCTTCTCTCTGGAACTCTCCTCCCAGATTTCCATCACCCATGGGACAGCTGCACTTAGGTCACCTGCAGAATCCGCAATCCACCCACAATTTACGTCGCCAGACTTTCCCATCCGCTTCTCAGATCTGTTTCTGCTCCCGCCTGAACCGCTTAGCTCAGAAGGCCGCACGCATCACCTTCGGTCCTGGCTGCGGGGCTGGGCTTTCCTGGAGTGCGGGCCTCATGGTCAGTCGCCCTCTCACTCTAAAAAGACTGTCACCAAATCCTGCCCGTGCTGCCTCCTGATTAACCGGGTTCAACGGCTCCTCCTGCTTCACCCCCAAGCCACCCTCTTGGCCCTGTCGCTCACGGTCTCCTGTGGGTATTACTGCAAGGGACTCCTTTGCTGTTCTCCTGATGCCTTCCGGCTGAACCTACCCTCCACGGCACCTGCAGACTTCTCTTTTAAATAGTGAGACCCAGTTGTATTGCCCCTCTCCTTCAAGGCTTTCCAAAGCGTCCTGTTGCCAGCAGGGTGGCCTACAAATTCCTTCGAATGGTATGCAAGTTTGTTCTCCATCCAGGAGCCACACTCCTCCAGGCTGCCCGCCCAGAATGCCTTCCCCTTCCTCGCTGTCATCCTTCAGCACCCAGCTCACGTGTCATCTCCTGCTCTGGGCCTCTGGGTGGAGAATCCACTGGAGCACATTTTACTGGAATTACTTGTCTGTCTCCTTGAAAAAAATGACACGCACCTCCAAGTCGAGAGAGGCGGCACTCTTCTTTGCCTTTCCTCTGTTCTCAACACGTTTGTGACTGATTAACCACGTAAAAATCTAGGCCACTGGTGCGGGAATCTAGAGACATCATAGGGATATGAAGCTGTCAGGCCTTCACCAGGGGGCCTGGCCACCCAAGCTTGGACAGTATCAATCTTAATTAATATTAAGCAATCATTTAAGCATCAGTCTTAATTAATATTAATCTTATGGATAGGTATCGTTTATTTCAGCTTGTGTTTAAACTGGGAAATAATAGGAAACAGACATTCAGAAGTAATATTTACATGGTGCCTCTGATACGTTGGGCACGGTTCTAATGTCTTTATTATGATTGTCTTCACTTTGCAGACATGAAAACTGAGCCTAAGCAACCATTTCCCCGAGATCACACAGTCGGTCTAAGTTGTGGTTTGACCTCTGAGAATCTGTCCAGAGTCTGTGCTCGTACCGACGACATAACAAGAGCTCCAGAATGATAATGGACAGAACAGCAGCTAACGGACCCTGAGCGCTTACCGTGTGCCACAAGCAGGTTCTGTTCCAAATGCTTTATGTGATTTCTCTGGGGGAACCCGGACCACTGAACCAGCTGCGCTTTGTTTTCCTCGTCTGCAAAATGGGATAATAGTGCCTCCCAACCTCAAAGGTTTACAGCGAGGATTAAATAGGATCGGACGTGGAAAAACCAGAGTCGGGCAGACCTGCCACTGAAAGGAACCGGTAATCACGCAACCCCAGGGCTCCTCACGGCTCTCAGGAGTAACGATGGGGGAGTAGAAACGACAGCCTGGCCGGTAGTGGGAGGGCCCGGTCCCAGGAGAGTCAGAGGTGTGAGTGAGGGTCACACCAGGGCACCTTGCTGGAGGTAAACACAGAGAAAGGGCTGACACTGAAAATCGGGCATCTGCTGTTTTACTGGGGAGAAAAAACTTACCTCCTCGGGGGTGACTCTT